CCCAGTAGGGGATGTGCAGGAGGCAGCTGATCGATGTTTCTCTCTCATCGATGTTTCTGGCTCTCTATCTCTCTCCCTTCCTCTCTGTAAAAAATCAATAAAATATATTTAAAAAAAAAGCTATGAACTCTATCCAACAAACTAGACAACCTAGAGGAAATGGACATATTCCTAGAAAAATACAACCTCCCAACACTCAATCAAGAAGAATCTATAATCTCAATCGGACGATAACTATGGAGAAAATTGAAGCAGTCATCAAAAAGCTTCCAGCAATAAAAGCCCGGGGCCAGGTAGCTTCACAGAGGAGTTTTACTAAAATTCAAAGAACTAAAACCTATCTTCCTCAGACTATTCAAAAAAATTCAAGAGAAAGGAACACTTCCAAGCTTATTTTATGAAGCCAGCATTACCCTAATATCAAAACCAGATAAACACAACACAAAGAAAGAGAATTACAGGCCAATATCCCTCATGAACATAGATGCCAAAATACTCAACAAAATTCCAGCAAATCCAATACAGCATTACATCAGAAAGATCATACACAATGAACAAGTAGGGTTTATCCCGGGAATGCAAGGATAGTACAATATCTGCAAATCAATAAACATTATATATATCATATAAACAAATTGAGAGATAAAAATCACATAGTCATATCAATTGATGCAGAAAAAGCATAAATCCAACACCCTTTCTTGATAAAAACCCTCAGCAAAGTGGGAATAGAGGGATCATACCTCAATATAATAAAAGCCTTATATGACAAACCTACAGCCAATATCATACTCAATGGGCAAAAACTAAAACCGTTTCCCCTAAGAACAAGAACAAGACAGGGTAGCCCACTTTCACCACTCCTATTCAATACAGTACTGGAAGAGCTAGCCACTGCGATCAGACAAGAAGAAGAAATAAAAGGTATCCAAATTGGAAAAGAAGAAGTAAAACTGTCCTTATTCGCAGATGATATACTATACATAGAAAACCCCAAAGACTCCATTAGACCTAATAAAAGAATTCAGCAATGTAGCAGGATACAAAACTAATGCCAAGAAATATATGGCATTTTGATACACCAATAATGAACTCACAGAAAGGGAAATGAAAAAAAAATCCCATTTACCTTTGCACCAAAAAATGAAGATACCTAGGAATAAACTTAACAAAGGAAAACTACAGGACATTGAAAAAAGAGATAGACATAAACAGATGGACGAACATACCATGTTTATGGGTTAGTAAAATCAACACCATTAAAATGTCCATAGTACCAAAACAATCTGTAGATTCAATGCAATCCTCATTAAAATACCAACGGCATATTTCACAGACCTATAATGAACTCTCCAAAAATTTATCTAGAATTAAAAAAGACTTTGAATAGCCACAGCAATCTTGAGAAAGGACAAAGTTGGAGGGATCACAATACCAGATATCAAGCTGTATTACAAAGCCAATGTTCTCAAAACTGCCTGGTACTGGCACAAGAACAGACATATAGACCAATGGAATAAAACAGAGAATCCAGATATGGACCCAAAGCACTATGCTCAATTAATATTTGACAAAGGAGGCAAGAGCATACAATGGAGTCAAGACAGTCTCTTCAATAAATGGTGCTGGGAAAATTGGACAGATACTTGCAAAAAGATGAAACTAGACCACCTGCAATCAAAAAATGGGAAAAGGCCCTAAATAGACACTTCGAAAGAGGACATACCCATACAGAAGGCTGAGAGACATATGAAAACATTAGTGTCTCAAAGTCACTAATCGTCTGAGAGATGCAAATCAAAACAACAATGAGGTACCATCTCACACCTGTCAGAATGGCTATCATCAACAAATCAACAAATGACAAGTGCTGGCGAGGATGCAGAGAAAAAGGAACCCTCATGCACTGCTGGTGGGAATGCAGACTGGTGCAGTCACTGCGGAAAATAGTATGGAGTTTTCTCAAAAACCTAAAAATGGAACTCCCATTTGACGCAGTGATCCCACTTCTAGGAATATATCCCAAGAAACCACAAACAGCAATCAGAAAGGATATATGCACCCCTATGTTCATAGCAGCACAATTCACCATAGTGAAGATTTGGAAACAGCCTAAGTGCTCATCAGCAGATGAATGGATTAGAAAACTGGTGCATCTACACAATGGAATACTACTCTGCTGTAAAAAGGAAGGAACTCCTACCATTTGCAACAGCATGGATAGACCTGGAGAGCATTATGCTAGCAAAATAAGTCAGTCAGAGGAAGATAAATATCACATGATTTCACTCATTTGTGGAATATAATGAATAACATAAACTGATGAACAAAAACAGATACAGAGACAGAGAAGCATATATCACACCATCAAAATGCAGAGAGAAGGGGAAGATGGGGGGAGGGGGAGAGATCAACCAAATGACTTGTATGCATGCATATAAGCATAACTAATGGACACAGATACCAGGGGGTTAAGGGCATGAGCAGGGGGGTGGGGGGATAAGCAGGGGATATGGACACATATCTAATACCTTAATCAATAAAGAAAATTTTTAAAAAAGAAGTATCTGAGACCACCAACCACTCAATTTTCCTTTCCTTTAGCTTCCACGACACTACATACTTCCCTATTTTTCCTATTTCTTTGATTCTTCTTTCTCAATACCCTTTTCTGAACTTTGTATTTCCTCTTAACTTTAGCACTTTCAAGGTCCTGTTTTAGGCTCTTTCCCCCACTCCCCCTTCTCATGTTTCCCCTAGGAGACATTTTATTAACTCCAATGGCAGTTAAGCTGCCTCCCATATCTACCTCTCTAGCACAATTTAGAGTTCCAAACTCAAATAATCATCTTCTAACTTAAGGTGTCCACTTGGCTAACTAATATACACTTCTAAACTAAAATCATTCTTCCACTCCACTCCTGACATCATCATTTACCCAGTGTCTCTCAAGACACTTCTCTTGCTCTGGCTTCAATGTGCTATCAGTCATTACCAAGTTCTTTGCTGATATGTCCAATTATTTCTCAAATACATATTTTTCCTACAAGCTCACAGCCAGGTCACCATTAGCTCTTTCCTGGGTTTCCTAACTGCTTCCTGTGCATTCAAAATAATGTTTTAACAATCCTATCTAATAAAAGTAATATGCAAATTAATCATCACTCTGACACAAAGATGATGGCGCCCATAGCAACAAGATGGCAGCACCCAGTCCTCTCAGCCCCGCTGGAGTCCTCTATTCCCGGGGGCAGCCGCTGACGGCAGGGTCCGCTTGGCTGTCACCTGCGGTGACCTGAGGGTGGCCAAGAGGGCCCCGCAGACCATGCAGAGCAGGGCCCATTTGGCCGTCGCCCATGGTGACCGGTGAGCAGCCCAAGTGGGCCCCGCAGACAGCAGAGAACCATGGGGAATGGGCTTAAGCCGTCAGTAGGACATCCCCTGAGGGCTCCCAGATTGGAGAGGGTGCAGGTCTGGCTGAGGACCCCCCCCCCACTGTGCACAAATTTCGTGCACCGGGCCTCTAGTATCAAATATGCAGTCAGTGTCCATAATTTTAATTACCTTATATATTTTTTGTTTGTTGAAAAGTTTGACTTTGTTTGACTCAGGGTCCAAATCAGGCCCAACATTACAACTGGTTTATATGTCTCTTAACTACATTTGAATCTATGAAGTCCTTCTGTACATCTTTTTCTATGCATTTTTCTGGAAACACACACACCAGATTCTTTGTCCTATAGTTTCCCATTATGATTTTACTAATCTTATCCCTCTTTTGTCATTTAACATGCTCTGTCCCTTATATTTCCTATAAATTGGTAGTTAGATCTAGAGGTGTGACCAGGTCGGTGTTAAAAAAAAAAATTTGTGTGTGTGTGGAGGGATTAGGACTACTTCAGAGGTAGTGCTGTGTAATTCCATCAGGAGGTATATAAGTATTTCTTTTCTTTCCAGTTAAAATGCTATAAGCCATGAATAATCACTGCCTATAATTAATAAATCCATCAATTCATTAAGGGTCCCCTACATCCCTTGTTATTCTTCCCTGATAAAATTCCACACATTTCATGGTCTTTATAAAATGCTAATCATATCTGGTCACTACTACCTCTTTAAACCTTTCAGTGGATTCTCAATGTCTTAGAATAAAGTCTAGAACCTTTACAATGGCTTCTGAAGGCTCTCCATGATCTGACTTCTGCCTATCCTTCAGTTTTCACCTTATCTCATTCCCAACACTCTTGCTGTACTAAAAATTTCAGTTCCTTCAATGTCCTTCTCTTTTACCGTATACTCTTCTTAGACTACTCCTTTAGCATAGGCAAATGCACAGCTTTAGTTAACTAATTCCATTCACCCTTCAAGTGCTGGTTTAAACAACTCCCTAGTAAAGTGCCTTAAGCCTATACACCAAGTTAAATTCTCATGCCAAATATGTCCACAACATACTTGACGTCTCTTTCACCACACTTCTAATGAAATGTCCAATGACTTTCTTTCCTCATGCATTGTAAGTGAAAGCAGAAATCACTATCTTGATCACTGCTATACCTAAACAGCACAGGTATTTAATAATAGCCTGCATTAAACTGAAATTGAAAACCATCTTTCTATGGATATTGATAATATCCCTTTAAAAACTATTATTTTAAAATACTTAAAATTTGCAAATATTTTAGATCAGTGATCACCAACCTTTCAGAGCTCACAGACCACCAGTTGGCGACTGCTGTTTTAGATTAAAAACACTAATAAAGCATAATGAAAATATAAAATGCTCAACAAAACATTAATTAAAAAAGACACACAAAAATAATTACATTGCCAATTTAGAATAAACATAAATTCTCTAGAAGCTCTTAGACTTTATCAGTTTGTTTTCTTTAATCTATTTAAAAACCTCTTCTTTGAAGAACCAAAAAGCAGCAAATAATGTTTTTGTTGTTGATGTTGTTTTAAACTCTTACTTTTATGAAGAGGAAGGGGTTTAATAAGATCTGGCTGTGCTTGAGTCATAGGTATAGGTGGTCCTTTTCCTCCAATATGATTGTTCACAACTGGATTCTGCTGTCTGCCTCTCAGCAGTGGAGACATACAGCGACGTCTTTTAGGGATCCCTTGCATATTTGGTTCTCCAGGTCGTTTATGTTTATTTTGAGGTCCAGCCACAAATTCATCTGCTTCATCTATCATCATACCCTATAATAAAATACATAATTTCCTTGGATTTATATTCAGTTTTTAAATGGTACAACTAATTCTAATTTCCATAAAAACAACTCTATTTAACTATGTTGACATTTATTACGTACTCTACCAGGAAAATAGCTTTAGCTTACTTTAAATTCACAGTACCTAGCACAAACAAATTATATAATGGAATATTTCAAATTTACCTTTTTATCCAACTTAAAAGGGTTGCCAAATGTATGTAACCTTCGAGGCTGATCAGGATCAAGTTCTCTTAGTGGAGAAGGTACTTGCTTGAGATATTCCTGGTAATTCCCCATTTGTGCTATAGGAACACTGTGTACTTGATCTTTTCGAACAAAATAAAGCGACAACAAAAGTTAACCTTACTAACACCTGTTCTAGTTATCACGTATCTTCTTATATATGAACTAAAGGCCTGATGCATGAAATTCGTACAAGAGTAGGCCTTCCTCTTCCTCCCCCCCCAGCCCCCGCTGCCGGCACTGGCTTCTACCTGGGCAGCTGGCAGGCACCCGGGACCCAGGTTTTCCTTGCAGCCCCAGCTTCGTCCGGAAGGTTATCTGGTCTAATTAGCATATTACGCTTTTATTATTATAGATGCTGCCTGGTGTTTGTTATTTTAGGCAGTCTTCTCTTACCACATACTCTAAATTAATGTGTTGCCATTATAAATATTATGACATAAAACTCTGAGATTTTTAAAATAAAATTTAAAATCATTGATTTTATCTTCTAAACCAGTGGTTCTCAACCTTCCTAATGCCTCGATCCTTCAATACAGTTCCTCATGTTGTGGTGACCCCCAATTTCATTGTTACAAATTGAACATAATTAAAGCATAGTGATTAATCACAAAAACAATATGTAATTATATACGTGTTTTTCGATGGTCTTAGACGACCCCCATGAAAAGGTCGTTTGACCCCGAAAGGGGTCGCGACCCACAGGTTGAGAACCGCTGTTCTAAACAAAACAAAAATATTGCAGCTAATTTCAGTGCATAGAATTAGCAATGTATAACCTTACCATGAAAAGGAATGTCTCTTCTACTCTATTCCAAATATACACAATTTAATTATAGAATTTATAGAAAAATCACATACATAACCCTTTTTTCATATTTTATATATATATATATGAATGCTTACATCAGAAATAGCAAAAGGTTAAATTTTCATCTGACTTGGTTTGTAGTAAGTGCCTTGCATATGGTTGAAGGAAATACTAGAATTGTACAATTACTGGCCACCCAGAGTTAAACCATCAGATATTGGTATATCATAATAAAATAACTCAGTTTGTCTATGTGTCTGCATGTGTGAATGGACGGAAAATCAAGAAAGGAAACTAAGCTATTAACAAAGGTGGTTACATCTGGGGAATAGAATTTGGGGCAAATTCTATAGTGAAGGCAGAAAGAAATGTAAAGAATCAGGGATGACTTTTTACTTAATTTGTTTGAATTTACAATGAGAATTGTGCAAGAATTCTTTAAGAGTTACAGTATTACCCTATTGTGTTTTTATATAAAGAGAAAAATACCAATATTAAAATCATAATCTAACCTTCATCCTGTCCTTTAAGAAATCTTCGGGTGCTCTTCATAAGATTAAATCTCATTCTTGTTAAGTGATCCAAAAGATTCCGTCTAGGTATGTCATATGCATTTCTAAATGTCTGTGGCTTTAAATCCTATTGAAAATATTCAAAGACAAAAGTTATTTATAAACACAGAATTAAGAGACTAAAATCTCTACCTTGCACATAGGTTTGAAAATAATATATACAAGTTAACTAATTACCTTAAAAAATAGAATAGAGTTGTGATGCAATCTTAAAGTACTGTTTTGGGAACCAAAAGATAAAAACTTGGTAGTGAGCTCAACCAAATAATCCCAAATTTACATCTAACTCAAGATTTTGTTATATTTTCTGACTAAAAGAAGTACTAGTAAACACCCAAATTTTAAAGACTTCCGAGGTTTTATCTTATGCTTTGATATATAATGTATGTGCTATACAACTGCCTATTTAAGTATACAGTTCAATGAGTATTAGTAAATTTATAGTTGTGAAACAATCACTGCAATCCAGTTTTAGAATACTTCCATCATTTCAGAAAGTTCCTTGTGCCCATTTGTAATCAATTCCTATTATTAGCCCCAGGCAACAACTTACCTGCTTTCTGTCTCTGTACATTCCATTTCATAAATGGAATTTTGCAATATCTAAAGTTTTCTATCTGGCTTCTTTCACTGAGCATGATCTTTTTGAGATTCATCCATGTTGTTCATGTGTCAGTAGTCTATTCCTTTTTTATCACAGTAAAGTAGTATTTCATTATATGGATATGCCATATCTTTAATCTATTCACTAGTTGATCAAGTATTATCAATAATAATATTTACCCATTTATCTTGAGTAGATACTTACAACTGCTATGCAAACAACATATATGTAACATATATATTACATACAGTAATATAATATATGAGAGTTCCAATTGCTCTACATCCTCACCAATACTTGACATTTTTCAGTCTTTTAAATTTTAGCTATTCTAGTGGGTATAAAATGGGACCTCATTATGGTTTTTATTTCCATTTCCCTAATGATCAATAAGGTTGACTGTCTTTTCATGTGCTTGTTCAAGTTTGTATATCTTATCTGGTGAAGTATCTGTTCAAATATTTGCCCTTTTTTTATGGGGATGTTTATCTCTTTATTAGGTTCTATGAGTTCTTTAAGGATTTTGATATTAAGTTCTTTATTTAATATGTGTTTTGTTCCCAGGTTATAAGTTCCTTTTAATTTTTCAAAGTTTCATTTGAATTAATAATTTCAATGAAGTTCAATTTATCAAGTTCTTTTTGTTTTGTATTTTAGAACTCCTCCATGATCCATGACCCAAGTTCATGATGATTTTCTCTAGTTTTCTTTTAGTTTACAGTTTTAGTTCTTACACTTAAGACCATGATCACTTTAAATAATGTTAGGTAAGGGTCAAGTTAAGTAATTTGAATATGGACATCCAATTTTTCTAGTGCTACTGTTGAAAGGATTGTATTCTCACTTACTGAATTATTTTGGCACCTTGTTAAAAATTAATTGACTATTTGTGTGAGGGCCTACTTCTAGACTATATTCTATTCCATTGATCTATATGTTTATCCGTATGCCAACAACACAAAGTGTTGATCACTATAGCTTCACAGTAATTTTTATTTAGTTATTTTTTCACAGTAATTTTTAAAATTAGATAGTGCAAGTTGTCCAACTTTATTCGTTTCCAAAACTGTTTAGCTATTCTAGTACCTTTACACTTCCATATGAATTTTAGAATCAGCTTGTTGTTGTTTTTTATATAAAAGCTGCCGGAATTAGGTCTTTTTAATAGCAAGTATTCATAAAGCATTTTAGGATCACACTGTGCACCCAAGGTCATAAGTACCAAATTACAGTGACTCTACCATTAGCTATATAACTTTAAGCAATCTCTAAGCCTTTGTTTACTAACTTATAAAATAAATGGGTTGGTTTACTTTTTATCAATATATTCATTCACTCACCATGGACAGTTTTTTGTTGTTTCTTTTTTGTTTTAAGAACAGTTATTGATTTTTAGAAAGAGTAAGGGGGAGGGAGGGAGGGAGGGAGAGAGAGAGAGAGAGAGAGAGAGAGAGAGAGAGAGAGAAACATCAATGTGAGAGTGCAACATCAATTTGCTGCCTCCTACATGCTCTCCACTAAGGGTGGAGATGTAGGGAGGGATTGAGACCACATCCCATGCATGTACCCTGACCAGGAATCAAACTGGCAATCTTTCAGTGCACAGGAAGATGCCCAACCAATTGAGACCAGCCAGGGCTGTCTGTTTTAATTCTAAAATTCAATTATTCAATCAAAGTATAATGATCATTATTCTGCAGAGGCATAAAAAGTACTTCTGAAAATTTGGACAGTTTCAGTTAACAGAAAATTTGATCTATATTCAATATAACAGAATATAACTAGAGCAGTACTGAATTCATGTAACTATTACCTTATTGAGCAAAGCAACTTGGAACCCAGTGTATTCTTTCATGTTCAGGTCCAGCAGTCTATGAGGAACATCCTCTGAAATTCCCTGGAGGAGTTGTTGAAAATCTTTCCTATAGGCCATTGATAAACCATGTGATCGGCTTCGGACTTTAATTCCAGTTTCCTGTACTACTTTTTTGCCTACAGATCCAATGACTCGATCAGATTCTATTTTGGCCTACAGTAAAAAACAAACAAGAATTATCTTGATATAATCTAAATTGGTAAATTAAATACTATAGTTTTAATCTTCTATAAACTAAACATTTATATATTTTAAAAGTATGTAAGAAATTGAAATCTCAAGTGACATACTTTATGTCAAGTACTTGGTAAATTAAAGATAGTTTAAACAATGTCTTATGATTTTAAATCATTATTATAACCTTTTGGAGCAGGGTGAACAAACAACTTTAATTGTATTTACCTATCTAATTTTTTAAAAAAATGTTTTTATTGATTTTTTTAGAGAGAGGAAAGGAGAGGAAGAGAGAGAGAAACATCAATGAGAGAGAAACATCCATCAGCTGCCTCCTGCACGTTCCCTACAAAGGATTGAGCCCGCAACCAGCACGTGTCCCGACTGGGAATTGAACTGGTGAACTCTAGGTGCATGGGACCATGCTTAATCTATGGAGCCACATTGACCAGGCTAATTATATTTATTAATACCTACTATACTTAAACCATGAAATGTAAAGACGCCCTAAATGATTTAAAATATGTATTTCTAATTCAGAGCTGATATAAAATTAGAAAAAAATCATTGCACCAATATTTACTTAAAGATATTAGTACATAACTAATGTTCATACATACAGCAAATGATGAGGTAATTTTTCACTGGAAAGCAAATACCATTATTTTGACTCTTTACAACCTGCATTTCAATTACTAGTAGCAGTGAAAGTAGAGATGGCAGAAGTACTGGGAAAATGTTGTATTTTATATGACAGTAATAACTTGGCAATGACTTAAACTCTATTGCTGAACTACCATAGTATCTGTTAATGTGATTTATGCCCAAAATAATAAAATTCAATGACTCTTACAAACATTTCAAACTAAACTACCATTTTGAAAGAAAAAAAACACACACTATAGGTTTTAAAGCACAAACGAGATGGATATTTTATCCTAGAAAAATAACTTTCTAACATAAATTTCTCAAAGAAAACAAAGAATATTCACACAGAGTAAGTCCAGGAAGCCATTTCATAAACTAGAAATTATTATTTGAAATTAACATTTCAAATCATAGCATACCATGTACTTGAGACAGAATTATGGATATATTAGAGGCCTGATGCACGAAATTCGTGCAAGACTAGGCCCTTGCAGCCCCGGCTCTGTCTGGAAGGTATCCCAGAGGGTTGTTCCGTTGTTTGGCCATTTGGTCAATTTGCATGTTATGCTTTTATTATTATAGATGATATACGTGATTTTAAAATGTAATATAGTAATATAATGAAATTCTTTTAGGATTATCAAGAACTAATATCTGGTCTGCTAACCATCTTAAAAACCATTCAAAATATGAAATGGCTCTATTTCTTAACATTACCTGTTGACTCAATTTTTTGAGGTATGAAATGACACTGTAACTTAGTCCATATTCCATACTGTCTGCTATGAGGTTAGGTGCTCCCATCATTCTAACAGCTTTCCTCAGAGGCTATAGGCAAAAAAACAACAACCATCACTTGTCAGAAATTTATGGCTAGATGTATTATGTCAGTTTTGAACATTTCTGCCCCCCAAATTTCTCCTTTTCTTCAGTAAGAAAGTAACAACATATTTGTATTTCAGTAAAATGTTTGTGTTGTACGAAAGGCAGTTTGAAATACTAGTAAAAAGGGATTAAAGACTATAATAATAACACCCAGGGTGAGAAAAGGTGAAGTCTTGAATTTCTTAGTATCCCTGGAGATAGTAAATTTAAAAGAAATAGCAGGAGACACTGCAGAGGTAGATTTGGTAGAACTTGGGTAGTAGCTGAAAAGGAGTAAAAGGAAATAGAAGATTTCTACTTTGGGTAACTGTGTGGGTATGACTCAACCACTCACTAGCTTTGTAACACTATACCAGGTTATATAACCTCTCTATGTCTTAGTTTCTCATTTATAAATGACAATAATAGTATCTACTTCACATGGTTGTCATGGTTTTAAATGAATCAATACAAGTAAAGCACTTATAAAAGCAACTGGCACACAGTAAGCATTCAATGTAGGTGTTAATGATTATGACCATTATCATTACCTGGGCTGAGAAAAACCAAAACAGAAAGAAGCTCTGAAGGAAAAATGAGGAGGAAAAAAATGTCTAATATTTATTATGGATGTGATATAGTGAAATAATATTTAATTGTAATGAGAGACCAATTGAAACCACTTTGTACAATGAAAAATATCACTAGCAGGAGTGTCTAGCATATTTGAATGGAATACAGACAGAAGAAAAAGGGTGATAATTCATTGACGTATTAGAAAGTGTATAAGCCTTTGTGTAAAACTAGAATCAAATCCCAGCTCTGATATTTAATATCCATGTAGCTTTGGCTAAATCCTCAGGTTGCTATGAAATGTAAATGAGTCAACATATGTAACATTTGATATTCAAAGTGTTTCTTCCTTTCACTTTCTTACATGGCAGGCATTATGTGCTAGACACTCATAAACTTATCACTAAAAACTATAAAATATGATTTTTAAAGTTCAAGAAATTAATGTTCTTATGAGGAATCATTTACAAAGATCAGTTATAGTCAAATGCTATAATATTCCTGAATTAAAAGCAGAAGTAATGTCTAAAAAAGTTACTTTTCATAAAATAAAGTACACTTAATAATATACACATTATTGGTCTTATCTCTATGATAAACTATGTTTTAAGTAGAAAATTTATGGTTCTAAAAATATATGGTTCTATGAGAATATACATGTATCTTAACCTAAAAACATATTTCTGAAGATTCAGGAACTAATGAAACAAAAATAATTTTATACCCTTAGAAAGAAATAATTCTGAAATGACAATTAAAAAATACAGTACAACAATTGAGATTGAAAACCTAAATTCTAAAGCCAGACTGCCTGGGACTGAATTCCAGGGCCCCATATATTTGCAATGTAGCTTTAGACAACTTAATATTTTAGTGCTTTAGTTTCCTCATCTGTGAAACAGGAACAATGATCATTCCTACCTCAGAGGATTACCATATAAATTAAGTAAGATTAATACATGTAAAGTACTTAGGACAGTACCAGGCACAGGTTAAGCATTGCATATATTCATGATCATCATCATTATCATTTTGCAAGTCATGAAACATTTCTTTCCCACAATATCTATATTGGTTATTTGTACACACAATTTTCATGACATTTAATCTATAACAGCATTAAACAGAAGTTTGTAATGCAATAAAGTATAAGCATAATATAAAACTTTATAACAACTTCTATTTTAAACAATAATATTCTTACCCCAAGATAGTAGGGAGGCATTGTCTTCAAATAACTTTCGAATGACTGTCTCCATTTCAATGTTGGTTTTGCTTTATGTACTTTAAACAAGTCATCTATAAATGTATAATGTAAACAAACTATTATTACTCATTGTTCTCACAGATGAAAATCAGGTAAGATTAGTCTGTTTTCTTATTTTTAAGAGGAAGAGTAACATGAGATATAAGCTTTTAATAAAATAAAAGTAGTAAAATTTTTGGTTCTGGAATTTTCAATTAGTAATACCATTTAAAAAAAAAGCCAATAATCGTATAGAATTACATCAAGGTGGAATCAGGAAACACACAAAGAAAAACTGTACCCTATATAGACCTAGACATGAAACAGATTTGAGAAAAGAAACAAGTATGCAAAGTGTTTTCTATAAAATATACCTACTAATATTTTGACTACAAAAATAAAAATATCTGCCAAGTGAAAATTAAGATAAATTCTTACAAGAAAATACACTCAGATTTTATGACTATGCTTCACAAAATGTCTTATTTACCAAATACAAAGCCTACGTTACTAATTCTATGTAAGAAATCTAACTTAAATTTAATCTAACTTAAAGAATTAGAATATTTAATTTTTTTTAATCCTCACCTGAGGACATGTTTATTGATTTTAGAGAGAGACACATTGATCAGTTGCCTCTTATATAAGAGTCCCAGCTGGGCATCGAACACTAAAACCTGGGTATGTGTCTTGACCAGGAATCAAACCCACAACCTTTTGGTCTCCAACCAACTGAGCCACCTGGCCAGGGCTAGAATATTTAATTAAAAAATTTAAAATATACTACCTTTATAAATTGTTGACTCAAAGGTGATTTGACACTGCCTTTCAATTTACCACAAACATGTAATAAAACGACCTTTGACAGGTTTAAAATTTTAAAGACATTTTCATTAATTTTTAGCAGATAAAAGACTCACAAAAAACGTTCCCAAAGTTTATTTTTAGGGAAATTTGTATGTATGCTAAGCCACAGAGAATGTGACAAGAATGACTTACCTAAAAGGGGAAGGAGGACTGGGTAATTGTAAGGCATCACAAATAAGTTGACACAATTCAGTGCTGTACTGGCTTTCAAGTAACCAAAGGGATGACCAAGTTCACTGTATTTTGCACTATTGCTCACATATACCTGTTAAAAAGGAGTGGTTAAAACATTATTATTATTTTTACTATATTTTATTGAGTTTTTTTACAGTGAGGAAGGGAGAGGGATAGAGAGTTAGAAACATCAATGAGAGAAAAACATCGATCAGCTGCCTTCTGCACACCCCCTACTGGGGATGTGCCTGCAATCAAGGTACATGCCCTTTACCGGAATTGAACCTGGGACCCTTCAGTCTGCAGACCGACGTTCTATCCACTGAGCCAAACTGGTTAGGGCAAAACTTATTATTTTTAATCCTCATCTGAAGATATGTTTTTACTGAGTTTGAGAGGAAAGGAGAGGTAAAGGGAGAGGGAGAAAGAGAGAGAGAAAGGGAGGGAGGGAGAGAGAGAGAGAGAGAGAGAGAAAGACACATCAATTCACTGCCTCCCTGATGTGCCTGGATTGGGATTGAACCCGAAACCTGTGTATGTGCCCTGACTAGAAATCAAACTCACAACCTTTTGGTGATGACTTTTCCAACCAAATGAGCCACATTGGCCAGGGCAAAACTTCATATTTTTATGAAGGTTAAAACCTTTACAGAATGTTATAAAAACTATTGATTTTATTTAACTTTTTAGGAAACATTTAACTTAAATAATTGTTCAGCTCACCTGCCAACATGTTTGAGGAGATTTTCTTTCCAGGATAAATTGAGTCAGTGGTGAAGGTTCCAACTCGTATTTGTCAAAAGGCAATTTGTCAATAACCATTGGTTCACAGTCTGTACAGGAAAACTTCACTACAGGATGAGATGTACGAGGTGGCTAGAGGGGAAAATCTTATTACTATTTACACAAAATACCAGAAACAAACTCACTTTCAGTATCCCTCATTACCAAAATTTACTTAGTTTCTAAGTTTTGCTAGTCAGAGTTTAATTTACTACAGAAAGCATTAGCTGAAAGAAAATACTTGAAAATGCAAAGCTTAAATTATATAATATTCAGAAAAAAACACAAAACACTTCAAAATCTATATAAAATGGAAATCTTTTTAGGTTTACAATGTAAAATTTTAGACTAAGTACTCATTGAGTTTTATATCCAAGAAACAAGAAACATATAGAAACCTTCAATTTTAAGGCCTCACTTGTAGAAATTTAATTACTTGTATATAGTAGTGGTTTCCAAACTGATCACATACCTTCAAATTTTTGAATGCACAATTAAGTTAGGACATTATATATATTTATTTTATAATTATTTATAAATTATTAAGTATGTATATACGTATAGGTACATAATAAAAGTTTTAATGTATTCCTTCCCTATTGTGGTAGACTGTTTTGGTTATCCCTGTGGTTTATATACCCTACATCTAGAGATACAAAAAAATACAATACTTCAAAGGAAAAAAAGGATGGGAGCATGTTACTCTATTTTCTCCTTAATAGTTTCCTTCTTAAAAATCTCATTGGTCTTTTTTGAGGGTCACATTAAGCTCCAACCAGCTTTAGGGGCATCTTTACAAGTCAGCAACATTGCAGAAGACATCAAAGCCAAAATCAAGATCTACCAGCCTGCCCTTTGACAGTCACTTCCTCAGCCAGAATTGGAAAGGGAGCTGCTGGCCACCTGGGGGGATATGTCTCCGTATATGAAAGTTACTGGTGAATGTACAAGGACCCCTGTCCCATATCCTGGGTGTCAGCCTAGGACACAACCACCAGGCAGAAGTCATGATTCCTGAGAAGATCTGAATTGGCCCCACACATCTCTCTGTCCTTCATCCTTCTCCCAGGGTGGCGAAGGAAGCCCTGGGTACATGGTGATCCCCATCCTGGGACCTTGAATCATGACTTAACTCATAATAATTGTTAGAAAATGGAAAATAAAATCTCACCAAATGAAGATCGGTGAAGAAAATATGAGCTATGAAGACATAATTTAAAATTTCATAGCTATAAAGGACTCTCAGCCTCAGTTACTATGTGTACATTGGTGGTTCCCAAATCTGTGTTGGGACCAGATCCCTCTCATTTCTCTTATGTATTCAACAGCCTGCTAGACATAAACTAAATCTCCTATAGGTCCCTCAGATACATTATAATCCAATTTGTTATTTCTCCTCCAAACCACAAAATCTATTCTAAAAACCTAGATATTATCCTTAATATCTTCTATTTATCCTCCATATTTAACTGTCACAAAGATCTAGATAAAGATTCCATAAATTCCAAGCCACTTAGCAGAATACAAACATGGCAGGTGCTCAGTATTTAGTTACTACCCTCAGTCAGTACTAAATTCCCATCTCTCTAGAAATTTATCTTCTATTTCTTATTACTCTAATTCATGCCTTCATTTCTCAGACTAGACTTGTATAACTGCTTATTTTTAACTAGTTTCCCTAATTATTCAGCACCCTCTAAGGCCATGAAATGTATATGATCATGTAATTACCCTACCTGAAAGTATTTGATAAAAGTAATAGCCAATCACCTGAAAATAGGGTCCAGACTCTTTTATCATACAGAAAGATCCTTAATGATCTGGTCCCCATCTGCCTTTCAACCACCACACTGTGTACACTCCGTGCTCCTGCTATGCCAAACTATTTGCAACTGCTCAAATAGATCATCTTTCGCGTTCCTGTATTTCACATGTTATCCTTGACTGCTTTATTATTTTCTCCCTTGCATACTGCAAATAAAGTTTTGAAGTCTGAACTGGCAAGTATCAACCACTAAAAGACTTCTTTCCTTATACTCATCCCCACCCTGTATCCTAAACACATACCAGGCAATTGGGCACCACCTCCCCTGGGTTCTGGTCTGCCCCCCTATTACAGGTAACACACTGTACTCTACTATGTTTATATGGCTGACCTTCCTATAAAATGGTTAGGTCAACAGAGCGAGCACTACGTTTTATTCATCTCATGCTCCTGTGCCTAAGTTGTACCTAACACGTTGCTTATTGCATCAGTTCATGAAACTCACTTGTTTTTTGGATGAAAATATTGAGGTCAAGAGGAAAAGAGAGGCAGAGGGAATCCTCTAGAATTTGGCAAACAAATTTGGCATTATTTCAGTTAATCCCCCAAACAAGCCTATGAGATAGGAGCTACTATAATTATTTAACAGATAGGAAATTAAGGTTTCGCTAATAACTGGTAGAACCATGATTCAAATTCAGAATCAGTCTCTAATAAATCACACTTATTTTCAATATCAATACTTTTTATTTGAAATAAAAATTTATTTCCCCTCTAATATCCTTTAGTCACTAAATTTTGCCAGTTCTTCCCATTATCATCTTTCTTATGATGCTTTCTTCTATCATCTTAATCCAAACTCTTAATATCTCTTATGTGAACTATAGCAATTGCCCAATAGGAAACCTGACTACCTTCCAACACATCTACTTTTGCTGCAAATAACAACCACCAGATCAATTTTCCTAAAGCACTCTGTAAAAAATGTCATCAGTTATCCTTTCAGTCCCACTGAAAAAGGCTTAAATTCCTTAACCCTGCACTTACAGTCATGAACAATTTGGCTCATTTAATAGTACTCTCAATGTACTCTCAATATGTGTTTTGACCCACGTTACTCAGGAATACACTTGTTTTTCCTCTAAATACACCTTGATCTATTTACTTCCATACTTTTTTCTCATACTATTTTCTCTCCCCACTGAAATCCTATCCACACTTCAAATTCCTCTATGGCTTATAACAATTTGCAATAGACAGCTACAGTAATGTTAATAGATATTGCTTGTGATCCTGATTTTGAATTTCTATTAGGACTCAACAAAGTACCATATGTACTACTGTAGGTATTAAATAAAGACTATAGACTGAATAACCAACAAGACAATATTTCATACAAATATGTTATCTGTTCTGTAAGAGTTGAAAGAGCTCCAGAAGAGAAAGTAAAATGAACAAAGAAACTGAGAATTTCTCTATAAGGCCAGACTGGAAAAACTATGATAGTTCAATCAGAAAAAAAGAAAAGGAATAAAGAAGATACCTCACTGAAATTTCTAAAACCTTAATTTCATTAAACCCCAGATGAATAAAAGAAGTATCACTTTGTAGAGCTTGTGTAGATTAAACGTAAATATTATCCTGAAGAGTTGATAAAGGTTTAAAGTATAAAAGGTGTCAAATAGGATTCAGTTTAAGTCATAAATGATAGCTATATGAAACATTCAAGACTGCTTAATGGTATTTGAAATATAATTCTTATCTTCAAAGTAATAAAAATGTAATTCTTCTAAGGGTAATATGTCATGCTCTCCCAAAATAGCCATGATGCCCTCAAATACTAGAAAAATATACTAATGCAAAAGAAAATATATTAACAAGATTAGACTGTTTTGTATAAATTTACCTTATTATTAGAAAAACCATATTGTGAACACTGATAATTCATATATATTATTCAATAAGCCCCACTGTTTCTTTTATTGTTTTCTTATTCCTCATCAGAGGATATTTTTCCTTTGTTTTTTTAGAAAGGATGGAAGAGAGAGGGAAAGACAGAGAGAAATATTGATGTGAGAGAAACACATTGATTAGTTGCCTCCTATACGAGCCCGGACCAGGGCACAGGCCAGGGAGGAGCCTGCAATAGACCCTTCTTGACCCTTCAATTCTCTTGACCGGAATTGAACCCTAGACCCTTCAGTCTGCAGGCCGACACTCTATCTACTTAGCCACACTGGCTATGGCAAGCCTCATTGTTTCTAAAAAATAATTCATGTAGCCCAGCTGGTGTGGCTCAGTAGTAGAGTGTCGACCTATGAAACAGGAGGTCACAGTTCAATCCCAGGTGCAGAAAGGCAGCCAATCAATAATTATCTCTCATCATTGATGTTTCTTTCTCTCTCTCTCCATCTCCCTTCCTCTTTGAAATCAATAAAGATATATTTTAAATAATAATAATAATTCATATAAACAAGACCAGAAAATCTTTCTACCTTAAATCTCTAGCCTGACAACACTGACTATAACTAAAACCATGCAAGTCAACTCCTAAGAGATTGAAAGCAAACTATCAAAATTATTGTGGAAGCCTTCACTTAAGTTCCAAATTATGGCTCCAAGACAAATCTTTATGATACATTACGTTTAGTCCAAAGAGAAACTCCTTATATTTATGATTCTGTACCCAGATGCTAATAATAAAAACATAAGCATAGTATTAGATTCTAAAGAAAACAGATGACTTTCCCCCCATTACTACATAACAATACAGTATACTAAAGCAACTAATAGCTTATCATAGCACTTTGAACATCTTTCTGATTCCTGTAAACTAGCCACATATTTAACTGATAATAGTAAAACTAGTATGAAAAACAACGAAATGGCTACTATTACAAAGTCACAGTTTCTCTGGTACTTACTAGTGTTGGAGAATTCTGATCTGGCCAAAAAGACTCTGGAACAGGCCAATGACCTATAGGAACCCCAGTTTTGGGATTTGGCCTGACATATATGAGTTTGTGACAGCTATGCCAAGGCTGAGATCCAAAAGGCCTTGATATATCTGGCTGCCCATCTATAGCAAAGAAATTGACACAAAAAAAGCATGTATCGTTAAGGGGGAAAATATCAAAAAGTTCAATTATACCTCTTATTACTTAATAAAAATGTCCCAATACTTGTTCAATTCTGAATTTGCCTAGTATTCTTAAATGGTACAATACTATCACAACTGCTTCACATTTATATGAGATTAAAATTTACTAGAGAGTAAAGTCTGCAAATGCCAACTATGAGTTCAGCAGTTGAAAGGAGGGCTCACAGTATCATTTGCTTGCCCAATCAGAATATGTAAAACATACTTAATGGTAAATAGTTATTTAATGAATGATATGTTTCCCCCATCAGATGATAAAGGCAAACACTCAATATCTTCATCATTGTGGTTGGCTTAGGAAATACTAGGTAAGAATTGCTAAAGAAGTAATCATTTTAACTAAAGCCTAATAACTAAAGAAAAACTTAATATGCAAATCCAGATTTGAAATACCTACCTTTTTAAAAAAAAAAAAAATTTATTTCTTCGAGTATTGTCTCCTTTTTCCCCTCCTTGACATTCCCCCGGCCTCCTCTACCCGCTAGTGTCTTGTATCCATTGGTTATACTTACATGCATGCATATAAGTCCTTTGGTTGATCTCTTAACCCCACCCTCCCCAGGCTTCCCACTGTAGTTTGACAGTCTGTTCAATGCTGCTCTGCCTCTGCATCTACCCCTGTTCATCAGTCTATACTGGTCCCCATGATCTGTCCCAACCTCACCGGGGCCGTCCCGACCTCACTGGGGTCATCCCTATCTCACCAGGGCTATCCCTACCTCACTGGGGCCATTTCAATACCTACCTTTAATCTGAAATAATTCTACCAAAATAGCAACTCTCTTCAACTAAACATTTATTTAGTACCTAACTTTAAGTCAAGTACTAAAATATAAAAATACATTCCATGCCTAACAATTCAATTAAAAATTTAAAAAACAGAAACAATGATACAATTTATATAATCTTAACTGTCTTCTGCTCCTTCCTATAATCCCCCCCTGAGGATACCCATTTTTTAATCTCTATGACCTTTCTCTTCTCCCACTCTGTGGATCACCTCTGCCAAGTGTCGTTAATGACTTTCTAATTCTTGTTATAAGCTTCATTGTATAATGCAAAGGGTCCAGATGTAATAGTTGTCCATTGGTTCTAAGGTAACTCCTTATACCTTTTAATATAAATAGTTCATGATCATAGAATATTGGAATAAAGCTAGGTGGAGCTTAGCTGGAGTTAAATAATCCAGTTTAATGGTAAAGGCTGGTTCCTTGTGTTTGGAACCACATAAATCATTTGGTTCTGGCCAGTCTGAAACTTAGGAAAAATAGTGCTAAGGAATTAAACAAACACCTAGAGTTCACTCTTGTGAATTAAGGGACATGGGAGAAGCATATATACAGGAGAGAGACAACATTATAATACTAACAAGGAATATGAGGTTGCTTAAAAAGGTCTATGGCTCTTATTTTTCAATTGTAGATGAATAATTGATACAACAAGTTTAGAATGTCTATAAGAAAATTGTGACAATACCTTCTACAGGGGAAGGATCTGGTCCTGCTTTTTCAAAGTTTATTACCACTCCACTTTGCACTTTCTGCACCAAGGACTCCAGACACTGATTAAGCATTCTTGGAGAACATACAGAGTAAGAGCGACCTGTGATTTAAAAAAAAAGTTAAATAAAGTAAATAAAGTGAACTAGTCAGTTGTAGAAAATACTACCTTTAGTAAGAAAGAATAATAGTGGATTTTCTGACAGTATATTGGTTAACAAAAGTTCAATGGTAAAGCTTGACTTATTTCATTATCTTATGCAAGAATGAACAAAATAGAAATTTTCAATAAACCAACAATTCCATGTCGTGAGAGTCTATAAATTTTTTCCTTCCAATAATGGGTACATGGAAAATAGAAATCTTGTTCTGAACAAACCACAATAAAAATGTGAAAGTTTACTTATATATGATATAAAGTGTGATTTCAAAAATATAGACATAAAAAACTATCTCCAACTGTTACCCAATACAATTAATTTATCTTTACTATACTAGTACATACACAACATCTAGGATCTAGTTCCCCCAAAACCTTACTCCTGCTTAACAAGTATTATCAATAAAATTAATGCTAAGCACATAGGAGATCACATATTTAATTGATCTGCTGACAGTTATTGCTTATTTTAAATATTTTCATTTTAATATACAGATGATAGCATATGCTTTTCTAAATTTCATTTGGCTGATATGCTTGAAAATTACCTATCTTAAATAAACTTCCTTTTTGAATATTTTAAATCTACAGGATTTTTAGTTCAGAAGCATTGAAATGCTAGTAATTAAGAAGAAAATACTAATAAAAGGACCCCTTAAACAGAAATTTTCAATATATCTAGACCTGTGCTATCCCATATGTGGTCACTGGCCACACATGGCTATTAAAAACTAAAAATATGGCTCGTCCAAATTGAGATGTACATTAAGTTTAAAATACACTCCTGATTTTGTAGTCTTAATATGAAAATTACATAAAATGTCTCAAGAATTTTAAATATAGATTTCACGTGAAAATAATATTTTATATATATTAAGATATTAAAATTAATTTCACCTGTTTCTCTTTAATGTGACTATAAAATTTATAATTACATATTTAACTTGAACCATACTTCTATTATATGTTAAAACAGATCAATACTGAAAAGCTTAACAACTAAAATAATCTTTAAACATCTTACAACATAATTTGCAATGAGCTTAATATGGAATTTTACAAATTCAACAATTCAATCAAACATGACTACATCATTGTATCTGACATACCAAATTACCCATATCAATTTATATTTAACATGTGATTTGCTAAAGGCTATTCAGAAAAGAGAACATTAGGCAGCGGTGTGATTCAAATCCTCAGAGTCAGCTTTACTTAGAAAGCAAGTATCATATAACAAGTAACGTATCATTGTATCATAATGATAGTTGGAATCATAAAAATACCTACCAATTACAGAGTGTCTATGTGCCTGGCACCATTCTAATCATCATATTAATTTATTTAATCCTAAGCAACAATGGTTGGGCTACTTTCTCCCAATAAGATAAGAAAACTATAAGCACGAAGAAGTTAACTAATTTATCCAAGTTAGTACACTAGTACAGCTAAGATTCAAATCCTTAGAGTATTAGAAACTTTAATCTGGGTATACTTTGTTCCCCGGAAATCATGATGTTAATTTGAAATCAATATTGTTTTAAATGTCTATATGGAGTCATACTTAATTGAAAGAATTAGTAAATTATTTTTTCTCAGGCAATTTAAAAATGTACATAAAACAATACATTAAAAGGCTGACCATCTTGCCCTAACTGGTTTGGCTCAGTGGATAGAGCATCAATCAGCCTGCGGACTCAAGGGTCCCAGGTTCGATTGTGGTCAAGGGCATGCACCTTGGTTGCGGGCACATCCCCAGTGAGGAGTGTGTAGGAGGCAGCTGATGGATGTTTCTAGCTTTCTATCCCTCTCCCTTCCTCTCTGTGAAAAATCAAAAAAAAAAAAAAAAGAAAAAGGCTGACCATCTTAACACACAAAGTATGTAGAAGACTATATAAAGGTTGAATATCTTGTTTCATGAAGCTTACGCATATTCCTAAGATGTCATTAAAAAACAAAAGTTTTTAACTGTGAAATTGTGGGAATTCTGTCTACTCCCCTAACCTGTGTCATCAATTAACTGATTAGGAAAATGTAAGTAAATGAGTTATGATCTTAGTATGAAATAAAATTACTAACAAAGATGTTTAACAAAAAGTAGAGAAAAAGTAAACTTGAGTGTGAATAAACTTGAGTCACTTGGCAAATAACAAAAATCCATTACTTTTTTTGGAAAGTTAAAGAAATTTTGCCGTTTTTACAAAGTGAGCCTATATCCTACAGAATGTTTCTCTTATTTTATATGTAAAAACTCACCCCTTGGAATGTAAGATACTTTGAAGCATAAAGTTTCTAGGATCACTCGTTACATTTGTGCAGAAAACACACACCTTCAAGCCAAAAAGCTGGCTCACTTGTGGTTATGTAGAATCCACCAAAATAAAAATAAAAATCTAAATACAGGAGCCTGAAGACAGTAAAGTGAAAAAAAAAAAATACAACTTTCCCACAGAAGTCTACTAGACAGCATTTTAGTATAACAGAGAAACAAAAGAAACATTTCTAAGTTGGGAAACAGTCCTTAACAGAGGCTAAGTTAAACTGATTTACTCTAGAAAATTGTCTTACAATTGTTATGAAATGCTTTTGATTCTCGATACTTCCACTGACATACCTATTAGGCATTTTTTTATTTGAAATCATCCCCCTGCCTCCCCGACACCTGATTTTCCCCAGTGTACCCATACAAGTCCATTCACTTGCCCTTGTTCAGGCCAAAATGGATAATTTAGGAATCATCCTTGATTCCTTCTTCCCTCATTGTCCTTATCCTTGGTTCTCCTTTGTATCAGATCTCCTTACCACCTCCAAACCTAGCAATTTAAACCAAAGTACAGTCATCTCTTACTAGTCCATGCTTCAATTCTTGCCACTTTACAGTATATTTTCATCTAGGAACTGAAGTGATCTTTCAGAAATAGAAATCAGATGTCACCTCTTATAAAAAGCCCTGTAATGGCTTCTCACTGCAGTCGGAAAATAGAAAGTATTTATTATGACCTAAAAGGATATTCAATATTTGGTCCTTGCTACGTCTCTACACCTGTTACTCTCTACTTCTTCCCATATAAGCTCTAGTCCAGCCGTGGGCAAACTACGGCCCGCGGGCTGGATCCGGCCCGTTTGAAATGAATAAAACTATTGAAAAAAAAAGACCATACCCTTTTATGTAATGACGTTTACTTTGAATTTATATTAGTTCACACAAACACTCCATCCATGCTTTTGTTCCGGCCCTCCGGTCTAGTTTAAGAACCCATTGTGGCCCTCAAGTCAAAAAGTTTGCCCACCCCTGCTCTAGTCACAGCATCTTTCCTGTTGCTCCGAAAATACAGAGCATGCACCTTCCCTTACTATTTCTTCTGCCTAGATCTTTCTTTACCTCATTATTCAGATCTCTACTCGTATGTTACACTTGTGATCATTTCTCAACATATACAAATATTAACTCACGTTGTACAACAGAAATAACACAATGTTGTATGTCAATTACACCTTAATTGAAAAAAAGAGGGTGGATGAACATGCTGTAACAATAGTTTTAGTCAGATTAATATTTTTAAGACACACCAAGGCTGATTTAATTTCTATTCAAACAAGTGACATTAACTTCAATGTTAGAAATATGCAAATGTAATTTATTTTTAAAACTGTTGTTTTATTTACTTCTTTACACAAGATAACAATCTCCAAGGATAAGCAATATTTCAAACTGATTCAAACGGGAGTAAGCATATTCTTTAGGTATATGGTTTAAAAAAAGTGGGGGCACCTCCTCAGATTTCCCAAGAATATTCACTGTCTTTCTCAAGTTATTCTCTAAACTCTTACCCTATTTTTTTCTTCACAATAAGTAGCACTCCCTACAATAATAGTTATTCATTTTACACGCTTTCATGTCAGTCCAAAATGTAAGCTTTCTGACTATTGTTCCTGCGGTATTCCCAGCATCAAGAATAGTTATTTGACCCTAGCTGATTTGGCTCAGTGGATACAGCATCAGTCTGCAGACTGAAAGGTCCCAGGTGTGATTCCAGACAAGGGCACGTGCCCAGGTTGCTGGCTTGATCCCCAGTAGGAGGCATGCAGGAGGCAGCCAATCAATGATTTTTCTCTCATCATTAATGTTTTTATCTCTCCTCTCCTTTCCTCTCTGAAATCAATCAATCAATCTATCTATCTATCTATCTATCTATCAATCAATAAGTGCATTGGAACAAATCGATGTCTCTCTCTCCCTCTGTCTCTCTAAAATCAATAAACAAAAAACATTTTTTTAGGTAATTTTTATTTTTTTATTGATTAAGTTATTACATATGTGTCCTTATCTCCACATTACCCCCTATACCCTCCAACTCATGCCCTCACACCCCTGTTGTCTGTGTCCATTGGTTAGGCCCATAATCTTGCATATAAGTCCTTTGGTTGATCTTTCCCCCTTACCCCCACCCTTCCCTACCTTCCCTCTGAGGTTTGACGGTCTCATCGATGCTTCTCTGTCTCTGATCTGTTTTTGTTCATCAGTTTATGTTGTTCTCTATATTCCACAAATGAGTGAGATCATGTAGTATTTTATCTTTCTCTAACTGGCTTATTTCACTTAGCATAATGCTCTCCAGTTCCATCCATGCTGTTGCAAATGGTAAGAAATCCTCCTTTTTTACCACAGCATAGTATTCCATTGTGTAGATGTACCACAGATTTTTAATCCACTCATCTATTGATGGGCCCTTAGGCTGTTTCCAAATCTTAGCTATGGTGAATTGTGCTGCTATAAACATAGGGGTGCATATATCCTTTCTAATTGGTGTTTCTAGTTTCTTGAGAATAGTTATTTGGCATAGAGTGGGTGTTCATTAATTACGTGGTAAAGAAAAATGCTTACAATGACAATTATAATTTTTTTTAAAAAGCAAACATAAAAAATATAACAAAATATTAATCATTATTTTGGCAACACAGGCAAATTTCTTTCCAATTTTTTTCCTCAGTGAACATGAATTATTCTACAATGGGAAAAATCAATGTATACACGCTACTCATTAAGTCTTTAAAAATGCACAAGAAAAAGTGCACAAGAATTAGTACTGATTACATATTACATAGTGTAATACCAATGAATATTAGCTTTTCTGTTCTACCTTTCTGATATTTTAATCCTCAAAACTTTCTTTAGTGAAAAATAAATAAGAAAACATATTATTGAGATACTAGAGACCTGGTGCACAGATTCGTGCACCGGTGGGGTCCCTCAGCCTGGCCTGCACCCTCTTGCAATCTGGGACCCCTTGGTTTTGCCGGACTGCCGGTTTTGGCCCATTTTGGGGGGCTGAGCCAAAATCGGCAGTCTGACATCCTTGAGAGATATAGTAGTGCACAAAGTGGCAGGCAGCCGGGGAGGAGCCCGAACCAGGCACCGCGCTGCTCCAGCTCATCCTGGCCCTGCTAAGCCTACCGCCGCCGCCACACTGACCACCAGGGGGCAGCTCCTGCATTGAGCATCTGCCTCCTGGTGGTCAGTGCGTGTCATAGTGACCAGTTGAACGGTTGACCGGTTGCTTACGTTTTTATATACATAGATATGAAAAGCATTTGAGCCACTTCCCACTATTGCTAACAAGAGCATGAAAAGAGGGAAATAAAATAGTACTTCAGGATGTATATTTGGGAAAAGCTTCCTAATTTCTTAACCAACTAAGGTTTCTGGGTCATTAAGAGGTATTTCCAAGGGTGACTTCGGAATCTTCTCCTCTGGAGATGTTCCTTTCAAAGAATAAACAACATAACTTTAGTATATTACTGCCCAAAGGCAAGGACATTAACTACTACATGAGGTCTTAGGTTCTTTTCAGACCCTTTCTGATTATCACTCACTTCATTTCACACTCTGAATATTCTTGATGCTAGAAGTCAAAGTTACAGTACATGTAGTCCCATAACTTTACCATAATTCAAAGTTCAAACTAAGTAATTTATAGTAAGGAATTTCCAAAGTGAGAATGTTTAAATTACAGCCTCAATGCCCTCCTTCAATCTGTTAAGTAAAAAACCTAGAGTTAAAAAAAATTTAAATCAGGATTTTTAGCAAGGCTGAAAACTAATATTTCCTGAATATAAATGTGCATCTACCCACCGAAACAATTAGGGCTTTCAATGAAAAATATTATCCATGCACAGAGAATTGTTAACAGTGATTCTTCAAATTTAGATGACAGATAGGTTTCCCTTTAAATTGTGTACACACATCTTTTTTTCTTTTGTATATTAAATTATACGAGAGTTCACGAAAAAGTACTTCTATTAAATGAGAACATTTAATAATAGAATAACAATTTCCTAACCAATCTACTTCATATACCCTTTTTGTCTGTGAATTTTGCAGATGTCCAACACCCGTGGAATTTTAGAAGGCACCTAAAGTATCAATTAGACCTTATAATTTTCTTTAACTTATTATATAGCTGTCTATGAAGGAATCTCAATAAAGTACCACCAACTGTGTCTAGAGACTATGCCACAGGTCCCTGACACAGGTGAAATAGTGGTATGCCAGACTTGGACATTTTACCGTTAAATTCCTTCAATAAGAATTAAAATGCTCTGTGAAAGCAAGACTGCTATGTCTGTCATATTCACTACTGAAGTCATAGAACAGTGCTTGGTACACACTAGGTACTAAATACATACCTATATGAATTAATCCATCTGTTAGCCAATTCCACAATAAAGAAGTCCTGAGTCTATTACATATTCTGTTTCAAGAGTTTTATTAATGTTAACTTAGCATATTGACTACCTGGACTAGCTGGGTATGACCTTACTACCTGTGTTTGCTCTAACACATCTAGCTTCCTCTTTGCCTCTGGGGAAAACTGCATTTAACCAGGCTTTAATAATTACATGCATAATAGATACTGATATGATTCTCAAAACATTTTTCACAGAAAATAATTCCATGACATTTGTAAATCATTGGCAATCTTTGTAGTTAAGAAAATAAGTTTAACAATTTCAAATACCAGCACTTTCTATATGGGCAGAAAAAATTACCATTCATTATTAGATCTAAAAGTATTCATATCCTATTCAAATCAAAGCACAGACCTTCATCAATATAGTTTTAAAACCATATATAACTACTAATTACTAATATTATAACTTGTTAGACAAAAACAAACATGGAGTTTTTGAAATGTACATTTTAAAACATTCAGGTAAACTCTGCTTTAAGTCACTAAATTACTGCCAGCAAAAAACTTACCGCCTGTCACTTCACACATTGGTGTGATTGCAGAGTCATCTAAAGGCACACCTGTCAACTGTTCTGATTCTACTGACATGGTGCCAGGCAACCGCAACACTAATGCAAAGAGTCTCTGATCCCAACGAAAAGGTTCCTTGGTCAATTCACTTCCAGGCAAAGGAGAATTAAGAGGTAAATGGAGCTGAAAGTAAGGGGGGAAAAAAAACAATAAGATTTCCACACGCTACTTTTCCCAAAAGGCCACATTAATTACACTTGCATTAAAACTACATCATGAGTGTCCTATCACTCAAACAACAAGCCCCAAAGCATTTGCAGATATAACTAAAATAGCACATGAGATACTATTACTTCCAATTTTCTTAAGCTCTTCTCTGAAGATCTCAATTGAAAGAATCTATAACTGTAATGTTTTTCAGATTTTAATTCAACTATCCACCAAGTGCTGGACTGTTTTCAAATAATCATTTCATCATCAAAACCACCCTTTTTATTCCTATTTTCTAGATTTTTAAAAAAATAGGCCTCAGAGAAAATAAATGATTTTGGCCTCCTGGGTATGAGTCTGTACTTTTTCTATTACACTGCAGTAGTCCTAAACATTTCCACAGTTAATAATTTAAATATGCTTCACTTTACACATAACATACATTTCCAAAGCATTTGCAAGAAAGTAAATTTTGTCACTCTAATTGCATATTAAATGTTATTAAAGGTAATGATTCTTATCACATCTGAGTAAAAACAGAGGGTTTGGGGGTTGTTTGCATCTGTTTTTTCCCCCATCACCATTTACCCCCATACCCTCTTTGCATGTGTGTTTTTTTTATGTCTTTCCTCTTCCCCAATAGACCTGCTAAATCATAATCTAAGATTCTTAAGAATCCTGAAAAGCTTTAAAGTGATTCTAATGGGCACCTCTGTACCAACAGAGTAACAAGACAATCCACACATCAATCTTAGCATAACTAAATGGAGACAACCAGACAGTATGTGTCTCAGAGTATAATGCAATAGGATGTAAAACATTAAGAGGAAAGAAAAAGGGAAAGGGAAAGGAAAGAGAAGGTTGAACCTGCATCTAGTCAAGTCCTAACTACCAGTTTACCGGAATACTGGGGATTATAGGAGGATCAAGTTTAACACCACCACACCTCAGCAATCAGGCAAATCCAGAATGTGAGATGTTCACAGGACAGATGTCCTGGTTTCTCCAATAAATTAATGGCATGAAAATGTAGAGTGGGAAGTGAGGAAGGTTGATGGAATTGTTATAGAATAAAAGATAAAGAAAATCAAAAGGAAAGGTTTTTGTAAAAATCGGGAAATTTTGAAATGTTATTGGAATTATAAACAACTAGAGGCCCGGTGCATGAAAATTCATGCACTGGAGGGGAGGTCCCTCAGCCCGGCCTGCCCCCTCTCACAGTCGGGAGCCCTCAGGGGCAGGTGACCCGGCGATCAGGGGAAGGCGATGCCCCCATCACACCTCTGCTGCTGCCACTGCCGGCAGCGCAAGGCTCGGCCAGCCCTGGTTACCTGAGCCTCAGGTGGCCCTGGGTGGCTGGGCAGCCACCAACTGAAGCTTGCCTGTGCCTTGGGCTGGCCCTGGGCGGCTGAGGGGACTGGGAGACTCCAGAGGCAGGCACGTGGAACAGCTGGGCCTGCCTGGGGGTGGGCCTGAACTTGCCGCCCCGGCAGGGCCGAGGGGACTGGGCGCCACCATCTTGTGGCTGTGGGTGCCGACATCTTTGAGGGTGTGGCGGTCAATTAGCATATTCCCTCCTTATTGGATATGGGCATGGCCATCTTGAGGGTGGGGCAGTCAATTAGCATATTCCCTCCTTATTGGCTGTAGGTGCCGCCATCTTTGCTATGGCATGAGGGTCAATTAGCATATTCCCTCTTTATTAGGTAGGATATTTTAAGTGTGATGATGATGATATGGTGCTTAGAAAAACAAAGGTCCGTATCACTTATAAAATTTCTAAAAATAAAAAAAATAAAGACCAGAATTAGTATACTGGGGATCTTATTTATACAATATTGGAGTTTTCTTCAAACTATAGAAAACACTAAAATTATTACTTCCAAACTCATTGCCAAAATTTATGCTACTTTATTCATAAAGACAAACTTGCATTGCTTACAGCCTTTCTATTTCTCATCTCAAGGAAGACTTCTGAACTTAATTAATTATGGATTCAAGTCATCCTGCACCAACTTAAAACTCAAGTTTCTTCATTGATTTACATCAAACCATTAAAAGAAAATCAGATTCTATTCTAAGGAAAGGTCCTAGTAAAGCTCTGCAAATCTGACAACTCTCTCCAAAAGATTCATGTCTAGAGAATATGATTCTTTTATCAAGATCAGCCAAGATTTTGTGACCATGGCCAGGAGTCATGAGCTCTTCCTCTGGCACTGAAGGAATGTTGGAAGATAACTGGCCAAGATATTCTCCGAGGAAGGTTCTCTAACCTCAAAGACTCTGTAACACTTGTAAAACAGCACAGGAACTCCAAGCTCTTACTGCTGTTACCTCATCCTGACAGAAGATAAATAAGAAAGCCTTTTACTCCAGACTAACCACCCTTGTACTACGGAAGTACAACTACGGGGTGCTTGGTCCTTTTCTCTTTAAGATTACAGAAACATCAAAGCACCAGTGACACTGGCAGAAAAGGGTTTCAACTGTTAATGCAATGCTCTGAGATGTAATAGATACGTGGATCTATCTCAAGAATCCAATGGATAACAGCACTGCATAGACCTCAATATAGGTGGAGAATAGAATAATGAGATCCCATACTATAAACACATACTATACATATACAAACAACTAATCAGATAATCTGACATACATATACAGACAAAACTAATCAGATAATGATGAACATCTACAAAGGAGACAATATATACTGAAATATCTAATGGCTGTATAATGAAAGATCTAGAATGTATTTTAATTAAAATGAACAAAAAACCAAAAATGGTGACAAGCATATTTTACACATTTTATAAACCTGTCAAATTTTATTCATTTTCGTATTTCTTATTATTTCCTATTCCCATATCACTACCCTCTGTCATTGCTGGAGAGGAGAGAGGAAAATCTTCTATAGCAAAAATGTGCTAGTTAAAATTGGAAGGAGTGATAGCAGACAAACAGGGACAGGAGAAATATAAAAAGCCTGGAAGAAAATATTCTTAGAGGGTTGAATTACTCCAAATCTAAAGTCTACAGTTGAAATTTCAGCAATGTCTTAAAATCACATAGAGAAGTTTCTCTGAATACATTGACTTTGAGAATCAAAACAAACTGCATGTAAATCAATAAGAAAAACATAAAATTAACTGTTAGAAAAATATGTATTAAATGTGAATAGATAATTCCCCAAAATGAAAAATGGACACGCACAAAAAATACTCAAGAAATCCATATGGCCTATAAATATGTGGAAAGATGCTCAAATACACTAACAGAAGATAATACAAATTAAAATATCAAAGATATAATTTCACACCCATCACACATTAGCAAAATTTAAAAGTATGAAGATACCAACTAAGAGGATAAGCATACATAGCAATGGGAACTCTCACCACTCCTATATACAATCATTTTGGAGAGCAATTTGTAATGTCTGGTTAGCTAAAGATGAGCATACTCTAGGACCCAGCAATGTCATCTCTAGTTATAGAGAAACTCTCATGTTTATTTTCATGAGAAAAGAACACTGTCTACAGCATTATCTTAAATAGAGGAAAAATGGAAACAACCTAAAAGTCCAATAAGGGAATCCTATCTAATAATAGACAAACATGGTAATTAACCGTACCTCAAACACGCTTCCCATTGGCTAATCAGGGCAATATGCAAATTAACTGCCAACCAAGATGGCGGCCGGCAGCCAGGCAGCTGAAGCAAACAGGAGGCTTGCTTGCTCCAGTGATGGAGGAAGCCAAGGTTCCCCGCCTGCAGCTGCCCGGCTCTGAGCTCCAAAGGCAACAAAGTTTCAAGTATAGAAGCTAAACAAACCCCAGATAACTGCTTTCAGCAGGCCGTGGCCTCAGATCTGGAGCAAGAGCCAGCTCTCAGCTCCAGTGACGGCAACAAAGTTTCAATTATAGAAGGTAAATAAGTCCCAGAATTAAAAAAAAC